AATTTTGTGATGGCTGTGATTTTTTTGTTATTTATTTGCTCTTTTTCCTGAAGAATCTGCAAAAATAGCATGAACCTAGATTGTTAACTCAGCCATTCTTCAGAGCAATATGACAAAGCACCCAGATACTGAGTGTTTGCAAATTTTAATTGTGGGATTGACTCCCCTCAGCTGTGGGCACTTGATCCTGCACCAAAATCGCTGTTGACCTTTTCTGGTATTTATGATGTCGGTATGGGTTTTTCTTATTGTCTGCATTCCTGACACAAATCAAACAGCTTCTATAGCATGTTTTTGTTCATGCAAAGTATGAATATGGGAATCTCAGTCTTCCTATCAAGCCTGCCATTTCTCCTTCTTGGATGCTTGGTTAATGGAGGTAGGTGATTCTGCCTTACTGCTTTCATCAGCTTTCCAGAGGAGACTTACTTGCACAGATGAACACTAATTGTAGCTTATACTGTCTGGATGACTTAATCTACAAGTAGAGTTATTTGAAATACACTAGTTACATACTATCCAGTCTCTCTTGTTTAAAAGCACTTAAAATATCCATCACATCAGCTAGCTGGATTGTGAGACTAGCATGTAGTAGTAAGACATCACTGTTCAATATAGCCTCTGAGTTGTGGCATGTACTTAGAAATACCATAATGCCTTTAGATGTGGCATTAACAGAGTGCCTCAACACTGATGTCTACAAGGATTATTCAGGTCTCATTTGTGGGTCTCACCTGTGACTCATACATAGCGATACCCTAAAGGAACCAGGCAGACACAAAAATTGTCACCTGACACTAGGTAAAGCACAAAGACTGTCTCTTGCTATGTATACGTACAGCACTTGGCCCAGAGAGGCTGTGATCCTGACTGCAATTGCAACCTGTAACACCAATAATTATGATGACTGTTACAGTCAGGTCTCAAATACCACTTGCAATGAATGCTCTTGAGAATCCAGATTTAACGGATAGTTAAAGTAAAAACCAGAAGTTTGGAAAAAAGAACCTATATTTCAATACCGGGAGTATGGCTGAGCAAGAATAATAAAACAATTATCTAATGTGGCCTTTAAAAGAACTTTAAGATTGATGGCAGTGCATATAGCTTTGGACTGTTTCTTTTCTCAGAAGAATTCACACAATTTCTGCAATAAAAGCATATTGGTTACACTAATCCTTGCTGTCTGAAATACTTTACAGCACTTCATCCAAGAATGCACATGATCTACTCTTCTGCCCTTAGGCTAGGTGCTTTCTCAAGTTTAGAACTGTCAAAATCTAGTGAGAGATGAACAGAAAACACAATCAGTGTCACCTAAGTCACAGAAAAACATGCATGACAGGTTATCTTCACCAGACTGGCTGCAGACTCACACCTTTGAAGTCAGTATTTTGGACGTGCAAATCTGCTCTACAGAAACAGACTGATTATCTTTGAGAGAGCAAAAGAGAATAAGGCTAAAGCAGAATTGTCCAAATCCCAGCCAAAAAGCTGGATCTGACTCTTGAAATTTAGGTTACTGGTTCCCAAAGACATATTTATGCATACAGATTGAAGCTTGCATGTAAAAGGAATAATAATTATACAACTCTCAGTAACTGCTAAGAGAAATTTTTAAATGTTACATTGCTTGACAGACACTGTTTCAGGCTACCAAAGAGAGGTGTGAATTTCTCCCAAAGCCTAAGGTTGCCACTTCAAAGAAGAGATTTTGACATAAAATCACGTATGTACAGCCCTCATTTGTGCACTCAGTTACAGAATATTTGGATCATTTATTGTAAGGGCATATGCAAAGAGCTTATCAGAGAAGGGCAGAAGAGCAATAATTTACAAAGGAATCCTACTCCCTTTTTTCCATCTACAGAGTGAATGTAATAGTAGCTTTACCACCTAAAATATTAAGTTACTATGTAAGGGTCTGATCTTTTCAGTAACTCTTAAGATGACAGGAAGAAGAATCTTTGCAGAACGAGGATACTGGGTATTGCAGGTGCTATTTAAAACATACTGTGGGCCTTTCTACACAGCAAATTGGACCTGGTTAAATGGCAAGACAATCCTGAATCTGAGTTTCTTCCAAGCACAGCGTCCTAGAAAAAAGGAATCTGAGCTACTGGGTCTCTGTCACTATTTTTGTTGGGAAGAAAAGTCTTCCTGGGTACAGAAAAAGTCACAGACTCTGGGACCTTCTCTCTCTTTATCTGTGTGGCTGTAAATTGGAAACGGCTGTGCTGGACTGTCTTATCAGTTATCCTGCAGCAACCCGCAGAAGGAAGCTCTTGCCATCCCTGCACTGATGTGAAAAATTCTTCTATTTGCTCAAACAACATCCTGGTGCAAGCAGGTTTATAATGGCCACTTCTAGCCAATAATTGGGTGTTTGAACATTGTTAGAAGGAGAGTCTGTGGTTGTAAAACTACCCTCCTAGCTGGGGTTGGGCACAGTGTCAGGTTCCTTTGCAGAGTAGAACTTTGCTTCATAGGAATTTTATTTCTCTTCTGCTTAAGCAGTATTTCAACAAACACAATAGACTGTCCCAAAGAAATCTTCATAAACTTACTTGTGACTTCTGAGGGAGGAACAAGGAGGGAATTAAAACATAAGTTTAAAAACAGATCCTTTAGAAGAATACTTGGGGCTAATGACACAAGACATCCTTTGAATCTTTTGTAATGCTGGCAGGAGAAATAAAAAGACACTGAGGACAAATGGAGAATCACCATGTGATTTAAACCAATCTTTTACAAAACAGGTAAAAGAGCACCAGTATATTTCCAACTTACTTGCCCTTGCTTTCCAGGATGATCCATTGCCATTGAATCCTTGCCTAATAGGACTGCACCCAGTGAAACAGGCATGAGAAGCTTGTGCTTGGCAACTTTCATTGCTCTCTCCTCCCCAACAGTTAGGATCACTATTTTGGGTATACTTGCCTTCCAAAGTCCTCTCTTAGTCTGCTCAACTCCCGGGGCTATGGGATTGTGTCATTAATTCCTTCTTTGTGCATGACCATCTGGGAGATGAGCAGATGTAGACACTGACCAATTTATTGCAAGGATTAAAAAATTGTGGAGAAGCAGGTGGTCAGCCAGAATTAAAAAGACAGACCAGACAACTTACAAAATCATACATTTGGGAGTTGTGATAAGTATATTATGAGGGCTGGCAGTAGCACAGGAATTGTGTCTCTGTGTAAGTTAAGAGCTTTTCACAGCTCTAATCAGCTGAACAACCTTGCCTAGCTCGATGGAGGACTGACTTATACCAACTTTTTTTCTTCCAGTAATTATCCTTCTCCATGTTGCCATACTTTCTGTCTGTATTTTTTTCAGTCTTGGGGCCTGTATCTGCTCCATATTCCTTTCTTTACAAGGAGTCTTTATGCTTGGTTCCTTTCCCTAGTAAAAAGCAAGGGAAACTATGGCAGAAAATATAAGCAAGGAGATGATTCCCCTCATTGTCTCACTTCAGATTTTGCTATCTTTGAGCATGCAGTCCTCTATGCCCCAGTTCAGTTTATACACATTTCTTTACCTGCTATGTCATGTTAATACACCACATTCAGTAAAATATTACTATTAATGGGACAGTAGCACACAGTGAGACAGTACAATAGCACAGCATTACTCCCTATGCATACATGTATGTAGAGTATGGTTGTCAAGGTATATGTTTATATGAAACTCAAGGTTCAGTGTAAGGAAAGGCTTGGTGAAGAGGTCTGAACACCACCTGAAGAGGAGGAAAACCTTATATTCCTCAATGAAGCAAGTTTATGAATAGCTCAATTAAGTAAGAAGGTGACTGCATCTGGCCTGCTGAAGGGACATCAATGTATGCAGAGAAGGAAAAGGAAACAAATGCACTGAGAAGCAAGCACTAGCACCCAGTCCTTGACTGCAGAGCTGAAGATAACAACTCCTGCCCATTTGCTGGGTACTGGGAAAGGCAAAGAAGCCTTGTGGATTTCAGCATAGGAGAAGTACAGCAAATGTGCTCTTTTTTCTGTCACCTTTCTAACAGAGTGGTTTATTTTGGCTTCTTTAAATGAATAATCCCATTTGCTTAGGCTGACTTTGCTTGAGGTGATTTTAAGAGAGTTGATGATACGCATCAAGGCTACACGGGGCTGTAAACCTTCAAACCAGGATACTGGAATGTTTCTGCACTTACCAGCACTCCAATATATATTCTGAGGGCAGGAGGAGAGCAATAGGGCATGTCTCTGACTCTGAAAAGCTGGCAACACTGATGCCTGGGAGAATTAAACAGCTTTATCAATGTGTTAGTCAGGAAAGTGCTCTGGTTTGTGACAGGGTAGTGGGGAACTGTTTTGTGATCATCTCCTTACACAGTTACTCTGAAAGTGTCCTTTCCTGGTCAAACTATCAAAGAGTTTTTCAAGGACCTGTGGGAAATGGGTATAGGTAGAGAAATCTACTTTAAGTGGATACTTCTAATTCAGAACCCTTTATCAACTCATCAAGAGGAGGAAGCAATAACTCATTTCTATTCACCTGTATAAATCTGCCCCCTTCACCCTCCTCCCTGGTCCAAGTATGATCCTAACGTAACTTCATTCATTTTCAGTGGTAATATGGAAAAGTTATACTGAAAGTAATAATTAGGTTTTATTAATAAAAAGTAATACAAAACAAGTTCTTCCAAGTATGGAATACCAACAGATGCTTGAATCGTAGGTCACTACAGCATCCTTATAATTCTTTATCATGTCCTGTATTGTCAAGATCTCACCTGTCCCAAAGAATTAGACCAATAAAACAAACTACACAGATAATCAGTGTTTCAAATCATTCTATACAGAAGATTGTTGACGAAGGAGCTAACAAACAAAACAATTATATTCAAGCACTGAAGATCAAAAAAGTGAAAACATTTGACAAATCTCAGATAGCCCTTTTATCCTCATACTATTTGCTTTACCATTCTCCCTCCCCCACAAATAAGGACAGTAAAAACACCATTAGAATACCTTTGAACTTGTGAAAGACGGCCCATAGCTCAGCAATGTCAGTGGCAAATGTTATATCTGTGTCGAGGACTATGACTCGCTCGAGATTGGAAGGTAGAGTCTTGGTCAGAACCAACTTCATCAGACCGTAAATCCCAGAGTAGTGTTTGTTGGGGATCCAAGACACTTCCGACTGACAGGAGATGGGAAAGAGGAAGAAAAAATAATCTTAATTAGAGAGAGAAACTCTTCCTGACTCTAGTTTCACGTAATAGTGGAAGATCTCTTAATACTAGCAATATAAAATAAAATGCCAGCTGGAAACAGTCATCTCAAATCCTGCTTTTAAATTAACTTTAGAAGCTCTGAAATATGCTGAAGATTCTGAAAGCTTGAAAAAAAAAAAAGTTCTTTGAAGCAACTGCTTTACACAATATAATTAAAATTAGCTGAGCCTTTCCAACCTGGTACAATCTATTCTGAGACATTCATATATCCTGATAAAGTTGAAATAGATTTTTAATCCAAAACTTCAGGTATATTGCACATTGCTTTCCTTTTCAAACAAGAAAAAACTCAACTTTTGTATTTGCCATTCCCAGAATTTTCTGACTCTGAAGTACAAGTAACAAACAATTTTTTTCCTTTTATTTCTTATAGATTTGGAGGTCAGAATTTCAAAAGGCTAGCCATTTGGAACAATGGGTCAGAAAATTGCAAAAAAAATTGGTTTTTATAGACTCAAATTTTCCTTAAGCTTTACATCTTTAAGTTAGAACTAGTGACATCACACAGACACGCCCAAAAGTGGAGAAAGTGGGAGAAAATTTTTAGCCACATTTTTTTTGTTTGTTATATATTAAAGAGGCAAATCCAAACATTTACATTTCTTCAGCAAGGGCTAATCAAAACATTTCTACAGCTTCCAAAATAAGTGGGGAGACTAAACTCAGTATTTCATTGTGTTACTAGCACTAGGATGTTCCATGAGCTATGTTTCATTTTCGTTCTGTGAGACTCGAGTTCTCAAATATCAAAAGTCACTGCTGAAAGTGGGATATAGAAGTTATTGAAAAGTTCCTATTGCCCTGTCTGAAACTCAGGGGCATGCCCAGGTTTTAAAGGGCATACACTACAATTCCTAGATTTTAAGTTTTCCCTTACGTCATGCTCCCATTAATTTCAATTAGTATTTTCCCTATAGGGGACCTGAGTGAGACAGATTTCAGGATTTCTCTCTGGTACTTCAGAGAATGTAGGCAGAAACTAAGTGCATTCATAAACTGAGAAGATTTATTCTGCTGTTTAACTGTCTCACATCTATTCATTGGCATTGTAAAGTTTATTATGTAAACCAGCTTTTGCACAGAAGAGCTCATTTCCTCCAAAATCCTTCAAGAATACCTTTCCATAATAGGATGGGTTCCTAAACATTATTTGGAAGTTGGAAGAGTGGTTGAAGAAAGGCCAATGATAGCTGCTTAGAGTGCATTTCTTTTTGAATATAAAGTAACAAGGCCTCTGCCGATGTAAGCTGATCTGCTCTTTTCCCTTTAAAAGGGCACACAACTTTCTTCTGTACTCTTAGGGTTCCTGTACCAGGGCAGAGCTTTCCCCCACTGCTAAGTTCACTAAAAAGACTGAGGGTACTAGAACAAACCTTTAAGGAGAAAGGCAAAATTTTAAGGGGAAAGGCAGGAAAAGCAGGTTATCTTAAAACAAACCCAAAACAGAATGCACAAACTGAACTGTGAAGTTTTGTTCGGTTTTTTTTGAAAGGTATCTCATCTTGTCAGTCCATTTGTATGTTCCCTTGTCTGTGCATATAATTCATCTGTAACATTTGCATATACAACCTGTCTGGCATTGCGACCTACACACATACATGTAACTATGCACTTGTGCTCTCTATAGGATTTGCACTGCAGAATGCCAGAAGTAGCACAAACAAGGAATCCTAGGACACTGGTATAAACCACTATGAAATAAATTAGAGAGTAAAGAAACACATAGCGTGGTTTATTTTATGGGTTTAAAGAGCTATCATTTTCATTTATTCTTTCTTTCTTGCTCTCTGTAATTTGCATGGTGCTTAAAGAGAAATCATGTTTCTGTCTCTCAGATATATGCCAATATTAAGTCTCTAGTTATATAAAAATGAACCTCAATGCTCCCCATAAATGTCTCCTACGTGTGTAACAGAGATAATTGCAAATCCATACCCTCAAAGTTTAGTTACTTGTGGTCCTAACTCTCTCACATGATGGCCCTAGGAAGCGACCATCACATCAAGGTGTCAGCAAAGCAGTATTTACCCTGCTTGAACTCTCTCACATGATGGCCCTAGGAAGCGACATCAAGGTGTCAGCAAAGTAGTATTTACCCTGCTTCCCCAAACTCTGCACATCATTCTGAATCTGCCACTTGACATCCTTGTGCTAGGCCAACCATGAAGATCAGCTCTCTACTCATACTGACACAGTAAAAGAGGTAATTTTACAGACTTGAGCTTTCTTTTATTATTAACCATCCCTATGTTATTAATTTTGCAAGGCATGTCCTTCATTTCATTAGTCCAAATGCAATATTGCTCCAGAATAACTCCTAATATGCTTATGCAAATAAGCCTAATAAGGCAGGGGTTCAGATGTCATATAGATAGCCTGAGACAAGCAGGGAAGGCAAAAGGTGGCTGAAAAGTAAGAGTCACTTTCAAGGAGCTATTACTTTCTTTGCTCTCAGGATTCTGAATATCTAACATCACTGCTAAGTATCACTGCAGGGAGGAGATCCTTGCCTGGCTGTTCTTTCTGATCTGGCCCACAGAAGCCAAAAGCCTGTCATCCTGAAGCTTGATGTCTGAAAGGATTGCTTTTGAAAATGAAAGGAACAGTCACTATTCCAAATGGTACATCACAGCTGGCTAGCACGTGTTTGATTTGAGCATATGTGGAAGCTTGAACTGTCAATCGGTTCAATATATCTGAATTTTTCTCTCCTCTGATGCAGAGATGACTAAGACACAAACAGGGGTCCTAATTAGTCCCCAGCATAATTTCTTCAGGGCTTTGCTATTCATGAATAATGTAACCATTCTGAATTAATGCCAAGGAAAACTCCTTATGCTACTCAACAGCACCGTGAAGGCTCACTCTCTCTGGGTATCACATATAGTCTTATTGAAAGAAATACAAGAACACTATGGTTGAATAGGTGCTTAAGTAGTTAAGAAGTGCTGGTTTGAGATAACTAAGGTTGCCTAAGCACAAACTCTTGCAAAATTCTACAACCTTCTGCTGTCCACTTTGATATAACAGGTAACATTTAGTGATTTCATTTATATAAATATTTTAAAAATATTTTCTGTAAGTCTTAATACATTTTTTTCCCTAGCATAGTTAAAATGGACTATATATGGAATGTCTGTTAATCATTTGCTTTACAAGCTAAACCAGAGTAGCCTTCAGAAAACAAATATTCCTAAAAGATACAGATATTCCTAAAAGGAACAGAAAAAAATGGAGTTAGTAACAGAGGAAAGTGAAACAAAACAGCGTTACATACTTTGCCATTTGTATAATTCTCAGTTCAGCAGCAATAACACACCTCAGATCTCTAGCTCTCAAGATCTGGATTTTTGTTCATGACAGGAGAATAAAGAAAGGCATTTATCTGGTGCTGACAGTGATTCTTTTAAGTAAGCTAAATGAAATAATATTTTCTCACTAATGATCTTTCATCAGAACCATCTTTATTCATTCCATAATTGAAAACTGAAATGCACAAAATTATCTAAATTATTCGTTGCTTCTGGCTATGAATACAGAAATTGCATGTCCATGAGTCTGCATGCTGTACACAACTGATCACTCTGGTAAATGCCAAAGAAGCAGGAGCAACAGTCTCCATGTCCGGTGATATTTCACCAGTGCGTTGTCTTCCCTAATTATGCTCTGACTAGCTCTGGGAAAAGCTGCCTAAAACACAGTGGCTGTATACAGCCAAACTCAGCTTTCTCACAGTTGCTACCACTGTATAAATTTTCATTAGAGTCAGAAGTGCCCTTCTTAAGGAGAGAAGTCTAATATAGACATACAGCTTAAAATCAAGCTTCTCTGTTTCTATGACAAAGAAAGGGGAAAACAGAGGCTCCTTCTCTGTGAATGAATTGTATAGTCACTACATTCCTAAGTATTTAGGTACTTCTATTCTTAAAAAATACTTCAGTCTGGTTGCCCAGACATAGAGATCAAAGAGCACAACTCCCCTACCAAGTCATCACAAATATGTTGAGCCAGACTTCAACTCCTATGCTATACTACTTCAGGGAGTTCTAGTGGGTTTTGTTTTTTTTTATCCCTAAGTAATGTTAATTTTCCCCCCACAAAAAGGTGATGGGGAAATTTGCCCAGGCTTCCTAGGTGAATACTGATTGCTCTGTAGCTGTAAGTGAAATCTGTACATGGAGAGGTACCTTGAGCCTCTTTGAAAGGGATGGAGACTTGGTCTTGTAGACTTAGCAGACAGCAAATTTGGAAAACACTACCAACATGAACAGAATGGCAGCGGGAACAGGGACCAACAGGAAAGGACAAACAACTTATGGGTGTCTGTTTGGTGTCAGATCAAAAGTCCATCAAGCTCAGTAGCTGGCTTCTGATAGTGGATGGTGGCAGGTGCCTACTGAAGAACACAAAACCAGGGAAATTCTACAGCAATACTGGCCTCATATATACTCCCATCTTCTGGCAATTTGCACCAAATTTTGGAGCTAAAGGTGATTTTTTTCTTTGTTAACAGCTTTTGATGGATTTTTCATCTGCAAATTTGGTTGATTTTTGAAGTCCTGTAAGTTTTTAGCAGCCACAACATCCTGCAGCAAAGAGTGCCACAGCTCATTTACAACTCCTGTTTTTTTGCACTCGGCTATCTACCAATTTAATTTGTGTCACATTTGTTTTCACAGAACTATAAGAAGAGCAAACCCATTTCCCTGAGTAGTTGTGGCTAATTCACAAGCCATCACTGTACGCCTAAAGTTATAGGATTCTTTTTTCTTATGTGTTTACTCTGCATTTACTAACAGCTGCCACCTGATCCTCACTGGGATAAAGACAAAGAAAGCAGCTCTTAGAAATACAAACGTGGAAGTAGGGTGCAAGGATGGGTGCTCATCATGAGCAGAAGCGTGGA